GGGACACCTGTAATACTTTCAACAATAAAGATAAATTTTAAAATAGTAATAATAATAATAAATATACAAGGACTGGGTAACGCTATTCCCACTCAATCCATGACTGATTCCCAGTACTTAACATGTATTAGAACAGGGGCAACAAACTACCTGTAATGACCAGATAATACTTGAGGTTTTGTGGGCCTTTTGGTGATTGTCCCAACTACACAACTCTTCCAATGTAGCAAGAAAGCAGCCATAGGTAACACATAAATGAATGAGTATGACTATGTACCAATAAAACTTTTTATGGACACTGAAATCTGAATTTCACACAATTTTCATGAGTCATGGAATATTCTTCTTTTATTTTTTCCCCTAACCATTTTAACATTTAAAAAAATGTTAAAAACAACTTAGCTTGTGGGTCATTCAAAAACAGGCAGCAGTCCCAATATGGCCACAGGCCATAATTTGCTAGTCCCTGTGTTAGAAACTTCATGACTGGTATTAATGCCGACCTTTCAAATTGCATAATTCTAGCAGCCCCTGAAATTCCATGCCCCAACCTCCTTCTCCCTCATGCAGGAAATAGAAAACAGAGAACTTGGTAATTCAAAGCAAATAACAGAAAAATTGAATTGCCCAAAATCAAATAATCTAAACTGGTTATTAAAAACAAGGCAACCTTTTACCATTGGAGAACTTTTATACTTTAAGAGAGCTTGTTTTAATTTAATATGGACTAACAAGAGGAAAAGTTAGTCTGAATGAAAGACTTTAAAATGCATTTTTATTGTTCACCAAGGAAGTATTACTGCAAAGCAGAAGGCCTAACAGGCCTCTTTTAATGAATAGATGACTCATCCGTAATCAGCACATTAATTGTTGGGATTCAAATGGGTGCTCTTAAAGTACCGGGAAAAATAGCTTCATTTTTAAAGCAGGTTAAGCATTCCCCCTACAGCCTTTTTTTAAAGTATCAATTTGCTTTGCAAACTATTTCTTTCCAAAGACCGTAGAAGTAAACTTCTATGAAACCCTAAGAGATTTATCACAAATTCTAGGCTATTAAATTTCAAATATTTTTAAAAGTCATATGAATGTGCATAAGAAACATTGCATTGCCATTACTTTCAGTATTACAAAATCAGTGTTGTTAGTCTCCCAGTCCCTAGGGATGACACTGTACCTTTTGCCTTTTTTCGAGCCTTTCAAAGTATTTCGAAAGTTGTCTTCATCTTGAAGTTTCACTTCTCTTGCTCCAGTCTGGAGATTCAGCCGCACATGGGATCCCCCAGGGACAGCTTGACCTAAAAGCCAAGAAGAGAAAAGGCTCATGAAGTATACAGTCCTCAGAGGAACACTGGTGGAATGGCTGGCTAACAAGTCAATAGGACTTACTAGTTCATGAAGACCAGACTCTGCAGTATTCAGTTACCTGGATCCATCCATATCTCCTTCCCTCCTTCCCTCCTTCCCCCCTTCCTTATCCCTACTCTGTCCATCTCCCTCTCTTTCTTCCTCCCTCCCTCCATCTCTCTCTCTCTCTCTCTCTCACACACACACACACACACACACACACACGCATGCACACACACCAATCACAATTCTCCTTTTGCTAATCCACATCAAATAAAGGGATGAAGCAAGGTGGGCAAAGGTATCTGCAGTTTAATCCAGAGACTAATGTCCCCCAGTTAGAACCTGCATATTTAAGCCATTCAGTTTTCTTTAAATTGAGCTATAATAAGCCTTTTTGTTTTGTCCAGTAGATGAATGGTGAATACCTACTTACCCTTCAGGATATGGCTACATTACTGGCTCCTCCACTACATCCTTTGTGCCCCTCCCCTGACAGCTTGCCATTCCAGCAAGCTTACACCTCACCACCCTCATCAATTTGATCAGGCTCCCTCTATGAGGCTCTCCCCTTCCTGGCACAGAGACTATCTCCTTTTTTATTTTCCCAGCCTCCAGGCCAGAGCTTGTCATATATAATTTGTGACACTTAATGTTTATAAGAAGGAAGAAGCAAGGGACTGAAAAGCAGGAGGACATGCCAAGCCAAGGAGGCAGGGATTGGAAACAAGAAAAACTAAAATCCTATACCCACCTACATCAGAAGAGCTGACCCACTAGCTGGGCAAACAAGTGTTGTAAATGAATGGGCTATCCATATACATTGTACAAAATTACCCAAGGATAGTTAAAAAGCAACCTGCAAGATCACATACTACAAATGAATGTTACACTTATTCATTCATGCAACTGATATCTACCAAGCAACTACTATACACCAGGCCACTGTGGTAGACAGGTTCTAGGAATACAAAAGAGGAATGTTGATGGCTGCAGGAATGGAGAATTTCAAGGGGAAAAGCTCTTCAGGAGTTTGGAAATGTATAAACAGAGATGCTGCTCGGACACTTGAGCTTTGACTCTGCTTTTTCCTGACAGAGGATGGCATTATCTTGCTGTTGCTGAGTTTCATTCAAGAATCCCCACTCACACCCCACAAAAGGGTAGGTAACAGAGCAAACATTCCTTAAGGGGAAACACATAGCACAAGTTCTCTCAAAATGATCCCATAAACCCTGAATGTAAAAGAGTAGCGATGTAGCATGAATTCAGGTTTTCTCAATTCTAGCAGGACCATAGTGAACTCCAAGTTTCACCGACCACCATGCTTCCATCACAGAACCAGGGAGCCAAAGAAACACCATGCCAAGACATGCTGTTCTGTTCCTGCTGTTCCACTTCAGCAGGGAGTTTCTGTATCTTTGGCTAAAAAATAAATGGGAACTTAAGTACCTCAGTGTATGTGCATAATGACCCTCTTCTAACCTCAAACCTTTCCCAAATGCTTCAAGGATAAAAAATATGTTCAGGTAGAGTGGGGAAACCTTTCTCTGGGGAGGCTTCCTGTATAAGGTTAAGTTGAGGATTAAATGAGGCAAAAAGTGAGAGCTAGACTGGGAAGAAAGGGAATCCCAAATAGATGGAGCCCTGAGTGCAAAGGCTCAGGCACAGAAACTGACAGGCTGCATGCAGGAGGCAAAGAGCAGAAGAGGCTGAAAGAACTACAAGGGCTGTGGGGGTTGCTGGCTTGGTGAGCCATCAGGAAGCCCAGGTTGGGGATGAAAATAGAGCTAATGGCTGAGGAAGCTGTTTCTGGGAGGAGATGAAGCCACATACTAGCAAGAATGTTTATCCTATTCCTATGGTCATGGGGAAAGAGTTATCTTCTTTAGCGTTAGTCTTATATCTGAACATGTGGAGGGGAGAGGCTGTCTCACCTAGAGAGATTCAAAAATGACAAAACAACAGCTGGCTAAATGCTAGGCAGGTCATCCTTCATATTTCTCTACTTTGCCACCCCCTACTCCATACTCAATCTATCTCCAAAACCTGGTGATTTTTCCTGCTATATGTCTCTTGAATTCATACCCTTCTTTCTGTCCTCCCATCACTGCTCTTGTTCAAACTACTCTCTCTTGTGGACCCTGCCAGAGCCTCCCAACTGACCTCCCCTATCTACTCTTGCCTCCCAATCTATGTGTTCTTTACAACGAATGATTTTCCTTTTTCAAAATACAAATCTGACTATGTAATTATCCTGCTTCAAACCTTGTAATGGCCTCCTACTGTTCTTAGAATAAAGATGGAAGTCCTCATGCTGGTGAATGAGGCCCTTTAGTATCTAATCCTTGCCTGCCCCTTCAGGCTTGTCCACAACTCACTCCCCCTGCTCTAGGACACACTGGTCTTTTCCCATTCCATGAAAGAACCATGCTCCTTCCTACGATGGAGCCATTCCACTCCTGCTCCCTTTGCCCAAAATTCTCTTTCCAACCCCAGCCTCCATCTCCTTCCCTTTTCAATCTCAGCTAAGAGTCACTTCCTCTGAGCCCTGGCCAGCATGCTCAGTGGTTAGAGGTCAGCTCCACGCACCAAAGGGTTGCGGGTTTGATTCCGAGTCAAGGGCATGTACCTGTGTTGCAGGGTCGCGGGTTTGATTCCAAGTCAAGGGCACGTACCTGTGTTGCAGGTTGGATTCCCTAGCCCTGGTCAGGGTGTGTTCGGGAGGCAACCAATCAATGTGTCTCTCTCATATTGATGTTTCTCTCTCTCCCCCTCCCTCCCTTCCACACTCTAAAAATGGAAAAAAATATATCCTCAGGCGAGGATTAACAAAAAATACCCAAAAAAGGTCACTTCCTCTGAGAGCATCCTCTATTTCTCAGACCAGATCCAGCTGCCCCCTAAAGGCTTTCACAGCACCATGACCCTTTTTTAAAAACTAGCACTTTTACCACAATCAGTAGTTATATTTTAGCTGGTTATTTTTTTAACCTGGTAAATATAAATGCTCATCATTTTATCCCCAGAGCCTATCACAGGGCCTAGCATATAGTAAACCCTCAATAATTATTTGTTGAGTGAAAAATTAAATGTGAAAGAGAGAAAATCTTAACTGATCTAGAGGTGTGTGGAAAGGCCAACAAGGATTTTCACTAGGGCAAGTATATTCATAATAATTAGCAGTCACGTTAATAGTTATTTTTACTAGTAATAGTACTAATACTACTGCTACTACTACTAATAGCAGCATCTTGCATTTTCAGACTTTTGGTCAAAATTAGAAATGGAAAAGGAAAAAGTATGTGACTTTATAAGTTTAAAAACGTAACAGGTTATACCATGCTAAGCTAGCCAAGGATGAGACTAGGATCTTATGTGAATCAATTTATTTTATTTGGGGAAATTCCAAAATTAATCCCTTCACATAAGCCACCACAGGGGGTAAGAGCAACCACAATAGCATTAACTTAAAATACAGGTTACGCTCATTTAAAATACACAAAACCAACCATGGCAGTAGCAGTGGCAGAGGCAGCAGCAAACACAGTATTTTCAAATGTTTCCACCCCACTGGGAAAAAGGCCAAGTTAAAGAGAGTGTGTGATCTGACGTGCATCCCTCTAGGGCCTCTGTGAAGGGACTACAACACTGGGGAAAAGCACAGCAGAGGCAAAAAGTCACAAGATACATGCAAGTAAAGAGTTAGGAATTGAGGCAGGAGGCAGAGGGCAAGGGAACAGGCAGAAAATAAGATGGGGATCTAGAAAGGCAAAGAGGCCTAAATTGTCTGTTTCCCCCACTGGCTCCCTGGGGACAGACCTCAGCCTAAGGAAGCTCTCTGTCTATAATAAGTAGAGCCTTGTCCAAATTAAGTAAGGCCACATCATACTTGAGCTGTGACTCCCACTGGAACTCTCTGTCACGAATTTCAATCACAGTCCAAGACCCAGGTAACACTCCTGCTTTCCCCATGGGGAGTAGAGGGAGAATCTGTGGTATATTGCATTACTGTCACCGATTTTCTTCCCTCCTAGGTGTATTCACACCCTTTGCCATGCAGCCCCTCTTATACAGTAAGAGTAAGATTAGAGTGGTAGAGTGGACTTTTATAGCCCTTGACTTTGTACTTAGCTTGTGATATGCCTTGGCCAGCTGGATGTTAGCAAATGCATCACAGAGGTTTGAAACATGCCTGTGTGTTTGGCTCATCTCTTGCAATTCTGCCATCATCATGAGAAGACCATGTTCCACTATATTCCAGTCCAAGAAGAATGAGAGACCCACAGAGCAGACCTGGATCCAAACTACAGATTGGAGCTAAATCCAGCTAAGCCCAGCCATGGTCAGCCAAGTATAGCTGATGTGCAGGCATGTGAGCAAGAATAAAAGACTGAATTTAACTTTTTATTTTGTACCACCTTTAACCTACACAAAAGTTACAAAAGTAATACAGTTTCTAAATATTGCTAACATAGCCTTTCCAAATGTTAATATCTTACATAGCCATAGACGATTATCAGAACTGGGAAATTAACAATACCATTTACCAAACTATAAAGATCCTTTTCATTAGTGTTTCCACTAATCTCTTTTCGGTTCCAGAATCCCATATGGCCTTTGGTTATTTCTCCCTAGTATCCTGTAGTCTGCAACAGTTCCTCAGACTTCCCCTGTCTTTTATGACTCTGAAACCCTGAGGAATACTGATCAGTTATTCAGGACTACCTGGTATCTTCTCATGATTAAACTAAGGTCATACATCTTTGTCAGGAAAACCACAGAAATGATGCAGTAGTGTTCTCAGTGCTTCATATTACAAAGTTTATGATGTCAATATGACTTCTTACTGCTTAATACCGGCCTTGATCAACTAAGAAAAGTAATCTCTATGGAGCTTTTTCACTGTAGCAAACCAAAATAAATGCAAACTGCCAAACTGTGGGAAATA